TGCTCATAAGTACGTGACCAACTACCATGCTAACCTGCTGGAAGTTACTGAGAGCTTTCACAGAATCACAGAATCACAGAATCACAGATTGGCCAGGGTTGGAAGGGACGTCAAGGATCATGAATCTCCCCCTTCCACAGGCAGGGCCACCAACCTCCTCATTTAATGCTAGACCAGGCTGCCCAAAGCCCCATCCAATCTGGCCTTGAACACTTCCAGGGACGGGGCATCCACAACCTCTCTGAGCAGCCTGTTCCAGTACCTCACCACTCTCTCCGTAAAGAATTTCCCCCTGATGTCCAACCTAAATCTCCCCTCCCTTAACTTAAAACCATTTCCCCTTGTCCTGCAGTTATCTACCCTTTCAAAGAGTTGATTCCCCTCCTGTTTGTAGGCTCCCTTTAGGTACTGAAAGGCTGCAATGAGGTCACCCGCAGCCTTCTTTTCTCCAGGCTGAACAAGCCCAGCTCCCTCAGCCTGTCCTCATAGGGGAGGTGCTCCAGTCCCCTGATCATCTTCGTGGCCCTCCTCTGGACCCTCTCCAACAGCTCCCTGTCTTTCTTGTACTGGGGGCTCCAGACCTGGACACAGTACTCCAGATGGGGCCTCACAAGAGCAGAGTAGAGGGGAACAATCGCCTCCCTGTCCCTGCTGGCCACCCCTCTTTTGATGGAGCCTAGGATACCATTTGCCTTCCGAGCCACAAGGGCACACTGCTGGCTCATGTTAAGTTTTTCATCTACCAAGACTCGCAGGTCCTTCTCCACAGGGCTGCTCTCAAGGACCGCTCCTTCCAGTCTGTAGGGATGCCTGGGATTCCTCCGGCCCAAGTGCAAAACTCTGCACTTTGCCGTGTTGAACCTCATCAGGTTCACCCGGGCCCACCTTTCTAGCCTCTCGAGGTCCCTCTGAATGGCATCCCTTCCTTCAACCGTGTCGACCGCACCACTCAGCTTGGTGTCATCAGCAAACTTGCTGAGGGTGCACTCGATTCCGTCATCGATGTCATTGATAAAGATGTTAAAGAGCACCGGTCCCAAGACAGACCCCTGGGGGACGCCGCTCGTTACCGGCCTCCACCTGGACATGGAGCCATTGATGACCACCCTCTGTCTGCGGCCTTTCAACCAGTTTCTTATCCATCGAGTGGTCCACCCATCAAATCCACATCCCTCCAGTTTGGAGATAAGGATGTGGTGGGGGACCATGTCAAAGGCCTTGCTCAAGTCCAGCTTTGTTGTTGGCTTCTCAGATAGCAATACCCCGATGAGAACAAACCATAAAATCCTTGGACATTTTTAACTGAGAGCTTTCCTACACGATAAGGAAGGAAAATATCTTTTAACAGAAACAGAAGTCTCACTCATACCTTATAGTGATAACCTTCAGCGTAACAGCAAGTTTCTCCCATATAATGATGGTAACTTTCAAAGATTTCCAAATCTCTGTGTTCCTGATTTTCCCTGTGCTCATTCAGAAAGGGTCTGAACTATATGACTGTGCTCATGGCTGTGGTTACCTCATATTAATGTTGGCATCTTTCTTCCCTAGCAGCTGTTCTACTTTTTTTCTCTAGTTTCTGTTTGTGCTGTTGGCTTCATTAAACAATTTTGATCCTAACTATTAATTCAAAATTACACTACACCATGTTTATATATTGCTAGAGGATGTCTTCTGTTTTTTTCTTCTTTCCTAGCTGTCACATCCATGTAGGTGTTGTGTTTCCCTTGTTTTCTCTTGACTTTCCTATAGCATTAGTTGTCAGCCTAACAAACTTGGGTGTTAATTTAAACACACTTTTAGTAATGCAAGTGGGATGGCTGTCATTTCACCCGAAGTTCCGTGACATGGTTGTTGACTTGCTATACTTGGATCCAAACTGCTCTGAGTCAAATACCAGAATACCAGTGTTGGTATTTCTTAAAGTGTAAATCAATAGCAGAAAGCTGAAAATGCACTGACAGTTTAACCGATGTCCCCTATTACTGGAACAAATTAACCATTAGTCAAGGGCAGTGTTTTGCCATTTAAGACTTCAGAATTTTCCCTGTAAAGTGGTGGTTTTTCTCAGTGGAATTAAAAAGAAAACCAGTGAATGAGGCTCTGGAGAAGTAATAACTCTTAATTTTAATAGCCTCAAATTACGGAAGGCTTTCAGGACAACTGTTCTGTCCTTTGGCCTTTCAGGTGTCTCACTGCTTCAGCTGGGTAAGAGGAATTGCCATTAATGATTCAGTAGATTAGTCATGAGATACTGGAGTCCAGCTTAACATTTGGTAAGAACTGTGGGGATTTGGGTTGAATAATCAGCTGCAGGAATGATTGGGATTGCCAGCATCAGCTGCTGCTGCTCTGTGTTTCTTACCCGTAAATGTACCTCTAATTGTTTGCTACCTGTGTATAGCAAGGTAATTGAAAGAATTTCAGTGTAATTTTGAATATTCAAGTGCTTGCCTTAGAGATGAGAAACACTTACACTTTGGTTCTGCTTAACAGATAAAAACGATTCTCTTGTAGCTTAAAAAGAAATTAAATAAATTAAAATACAGGAGTTTAAAATAGGATAAGCATTGGTAATCATGCCTATTTGTATCTTCAATGAAAATAGCAAGCTGTAAAAAGCCAATTTGCCCTTGCAATGTTTATTATAAAGTTTAGCCTAAGAGATAAACATTGATAATGTAAAGAGAATTGATCCAGTTTGTGATAGGAAGATAAAGGATATAAGTCTGTTTGGAAATTCAGAAAATGAGGCAGCGAGTTACACCACCAAGATTTTGTTTTCCATTATGTGCTAAGAGAAGTGGCAAGTATCAGGATGCAGCAAATGGAATTAATCTCTGAAAAAAAGTGTGCACTGCATTTAAAATGCTTGTTTAAATGACGCATTGAGTGTGGGGAATAAAGAAAGAAACAGCTGAGCCTACAGTTATTTTATTTTATAAAATCTCCCTGTTTTGTTCTCCAGTTCCTGGAATTAGCCAAGGGAGCACTGAACAGACTCAGCCTGCTTTGATAAGTGGTAGTTATCCCTGCACCATAAAATGCAAATGACAAAGGATGCGTATTGCACACAGCGCATTTCTCAGTGCGGATTTCTTTGTGTGTAAGCAGCAACGCTGAAGTACATAAGCAAAATCAGGCATAGTGAGAGCAAACCAAACTACTTTATTTATTTATTTAAAGATTGCAATACCCTAATTTGAAACTTGACAGTGGATAGATATAAAGTTAATCCTATCTTCCAGTGGAAAAAAAATAGGGAAAAAAATTTCTTAAGGACACTTGGTCCTTAAGTAGCTGTGACTTGTTATTTTTTGTCCCCCAGTGAGTCCAGTTTCTCTCCCCAGAGCATTTTGTCTTCGTGTTACTCCTTCACATTCTAAGAACTGAACTGCCTTTTTCCAGGGCAAGAATACATTGTAATGTATTGTGGGTGGTTTGTTTTCTCAGTTTCATATTAAAAACACATGTGAACATTTAAATGAGAAAGAAGACAATTGAAGACCACGGTAATACTAGTGGCAGTTTATGAAGTTTTGCTGTTCAGGTTTGGCATACAATGAGGGTTTACATTCAGAAATGCTGCTTATCGATGTTCATAAGTATCTAAAGGGTGGGAGTCAAGTGGATGGGGCTGGGCTCTTTTTGGTGGTGCCCAGTGACAAGACAAGGGGCAATGGGCACAAACTGGAACACAGGAAGCTGTGTGTGAGGATGACAGAGCCCTGGAATGGGCTGCACACAGAGGTTGTGGTGCCTCCATCTCTGGAGATTTCCAAGACACACTTGGATGCTTTCCTGCGACCTGCTGTGGGGAGCTGCTGTAGCTGGGGGTTGGACCGGGTGACCTCCAGAGGTCTCTTCCAAGCCCTATGATTCGGAGATTCTGTGACACTTAACTAAAAAGAGAAGAGTCTGGAGAAGTATAAATAGAGTATAAAACACAGTTCTTGGCAGATTCTTAGAAAGAACTTCTGAAAGCTTACAGGGCCGACTTTTGATATTTGTGCAATATCATATTCACAGCCACTTTGTGTTTGGTTTTATATCCAAAAAATGGTGATGGAATTCTGTGCTGACTCATAGGCTTGTATAACCTGCTAATGACATGAATCTGTTACTCATGAATGTCACCTTTCTCTTGTAGTGATTTTCTTAAATAACTCATGACAGCCATAAAATTCTAGAATCACATCTGAGCACAGGAGTAAAACCTACAGTCCCATACTTGTAGGAGTAAGTTCTCCCAGTCACATTCAAGACAGTCTGAAGTATAGCTTTCTTCAGTCTGACCCGCCCTCTTTCACTTTGCAGAAAATGTTCTGTAGCTCTCAAAGAGAGGGAAAATTTCCTTTGTGTAAAGTCTGTAAGTACTTCATTCCAATTAGACTTTTGTGACTGAGTGCTCTGAGTGTATAAGAGGCAAATAAATGGCTCTTGGGTGCTAAGTTTTATTCTTTCAGCAAGAAAGAATTTTCCATGTATAGAAAAAGCGAACATTGTTATGCCGTTTATGCCTGAAATCGTAACATTTTATGTTTCCTGTAAGAACTTACCTTGCAAAACACTGACTTCACTTAAAACAGACATTATTCCTTTGGGTCAGGCAGAACTTTGGCATTTCAATCCTCTAGCTGAAGTCAGAGTTGACAACGTGCTGTATTGAAAATAATACGATTCTGAAGAGGCAACAGCTGTTTTTGTCAAGTGTGCTATCTTTCACAGTCTGAACAAGCTTTGCAGGCATCTAATTTTAAAGCTGACCGGTCTGCATACCCTGCCCTGTGCACCAGAATTTCTGGAGCTGCAAATCTGAGTAGGAAGTGATTTGCTGCAAGTGAAAACCGAAATAAGGTGGGAACAGCTTATCTAGATGGTATTTCATAAATCCCAAACAAATCTGAAGTTACACTGTCACAGTTACTTGTAGAACCCAGAATAAGCTGCCACTTATGATAGAAATCACAAACCAGTATGTTCTTTCCTTTCACATTTAGGAAAACATCTCTAACTTTGATATCGTCATGGAGTCTGATGAGGGCACCTTCAAGCCATCTGGGCTGGCTTTTACTGGTAATGCCAAAGCTCGTGACATCGTGAAAGAGATCATGGCTCTGTTACTGCCTATCAACGTTACAGAAGTTTATGACGCTGCAGATGGAACAGACATCAATTTCTGGATGAGGGATGGAGTGCCCGGTGAGAGTACTTTGCAAATAAAATTCCTTCTGTAATACAGTGGCACGTCAGGGGAGAGTTCCTGCAGGCTCTGGCAGCCTGATGTTTTTAAGATTGTAAGGAAGTCTTCCCCTTGAGGAATAATATTTACCATAGATAAAATGCAGAAATGTTAAAAGGTAGCCAACAAAAATAGGACATAATTTGTATTTGAGCTTCAGTTTAATAATGGTATAGATTATGCATAGCATAAACATGCCTAAAATCTTCTTTTAGGCTTAAGGATTTACAATAATTAATCCCAGACTGGTGGTTTATAAATAGTAAACTAAGGCAGAGGGGAATTCTGCAGTGCAGAACAAATAATTTTTTCATTATTACTATTTTGACTTTGAAATATATGGCATCTTTTTACTGTTTTATATTTATACAAAGAAACAATATTTTCAAGAGATGACTCTAAAAGCATATGGGACATTAAAGAGTGCTGAAGAGGTAAAATTCTGTGAAGTTTGATTTGGCATAGGGATTTATCTGTAGCATTATATCTGTGACCCAGTGAGGAGCAGCTTGCTGCTAAAGAGGCTTGCACACTGGCACAGAGGTCCCCCCAGCAGACCCCCAGGCCAGGACACCCCATGCTGCACAAGGTTTTGCAGGGGACAAGAGTCCCAGTTAGAGGGCTGCCTGGAAAAAGCCTTAGTGAATTTCCATGGTAGTTTCCACTCCAGATTAATAGCGTGAAGAACAAAGTTTCATAACACTGATGCTTAAAAAATTATGGTCAGTTCTAAAAGTTTAACTTTTTTTTTTCCTTGGTTCTTTATGACGGAAGTAGGCTGGTGCATTTCTCATGCTCATTTTACCAGTATTTAGTATGTGATTGGACTCTCCTAGCAGTTGATTAACTGCCTTGTGTTCTACTTGGTCCTGTGCAGTGAGTCGTACATTATATTCTTTTTATTTATGGGCAGAACTCTTTGCTTCTGGCCCATATGGGTTGCACCATGATACCATAATGTTGACTGCCATGATAAATGTATGAAAATCTAATTTTCAAAGCAGGATATCTATGCTGGACAAGAAGTATGGAAGGGTAGATATTGTTAAACAGCCAGAGATCTGTCTTCAGTTGGCATACTGTTTTCCAGGTGAGGTGCAAGTTGTTCAGTGCAATGACATACAACTGTGACACTGCTGTGAACTCATGTTCCTAGGCTCTGCTTATGCATCTCACATGAGTATGAGCACTTTGTGCTGGGTTTAGAGAATGTAAGCACTGCTGAGAAGCTGTAGCTGTGGTGTGCATCATCCTCCATAGCCTGTAAGCATCCATGCAAGGATGTGTGGTCCAGAAAATGCAAGTGTATCAGAACAGGTAAGATACTGGGGACAGCATGCTAGGAATGTTATAGTCGGTTAACTGGGAACTTCCAGTCAGAGAGTAATAGATCACAGAAAAAGATACTAAATAATGGAGTTCAGTGGTGTTTGATAAGAGCTCACTCTGAGGAACAGCACTCAGGAAAAGATGGAGGCCAGATCTCTCAGCATGAGGCTTTATGGTCAGGTAAGTCTCTGGTGTCTTCAGAAAGTATAAGCTGTAAGAAATATCATAACCTATAAGCTTGCTTTACACCTTAGTGTAAAAAATAAATACACCACTGAGTCCTCTGTATTAAAATCTGATTTTCTTTCCTATTAAAAATTTGGCATGTTAATTTCATGTTAGTTTTTTTATATATATATACTGTTTGAAGTTTTGATTCATTTAACTTCCACTTAAGCAAATAATACAGTGTTCTTACAGCATAAGGCACAGAGATTCCTTTCTCCCATTGAGCCCTGATGGGAAGGATTTAACTCCACTAAAAACATTTCTGCTGCTTTGGATTGTTTTTTATATTATACCAGGCAGAAGTCTACAGCATCTTGTAATCTTCACGCCTTGTCTGCAGTATTCTCACTGCTTGAATGAGTCCTTACGGTATATTATAACATTGGAACACATTGAATACCCTGTAACAGCTTTTATAATTTTGTCCAATTTAAACATGCAGTCAAGTGTTGACACTTCATCAATTTTATTTAAATATTTTCTTGAAAGTACACTTGGTGTCTTTCTTTCTGTAACAGTTCAAGAAAATACAGTCTACTTCTTGAACAACAAGAACAATAAGAACGGTTCTCTAGCATTTTTCTCCTTTACTTTTTAAATAGATTTTGAGATTCTCCTTTTTATATACAATTAGAAATCTGTTCCTTCTGCTCTGTTTGGTCTGAAAGATCCACAGAGCACAAGATTATGTGTGTTTTTCAGAGCTGTTTGTGGCTGCTTCTGGGACACACAGTGACTCCAGCTCCTCAAACTCTGCCATTTCCAACGTTTTTGTTTTTAAAGGGCATGCAATGAAGTGTCCTTACTTAAAATTTTGTAAGAAAAAGGTGCTGTCTACTCTCAGGGAGTAAGAGAGGCCAAATGAGTTCAGAGTGCTTTGCAAGCTGTGGAATGAAGCTTAACAAATGCCCCTAAAGTACAAGCAAGGTGATCTGTGCTGAATACAGCAGTTTAGTGCTTTGTGTCTGCGAAGTATTAGATATATTTCCATCAGTGGCCTTTATGTTTGATTATTTTGAGAACAGCTTAGCCCAGCAATGAGGAATGTCTGGAGCTGTGTTTTTCTAGTGATAGCCAGTTTTCAGCTACTGAAAATATTTATATTGCATTTGTTTTGCTTTTTCATGAACCATAAATCAAATTAAACTTTCTTGTGTGTGTGTGGTATTGTATTTTATGCTATATTTTTACAGTTTGAGGTGGCCATTGATCCTTAGACTGCTTCTTTATTAATTTCACAATTATCTTCCTCACTTTTAAGGGATCAATTATGTATTTTTTTTAAATTAGACATATATCTAAACTGTTGCATATAAAGCCATTCATTTCCAACACTGTGACATAGTCAAGTTTGGCCAGAATTTACACACGTAGGTGTGGAGATGTTTTTTTTGTTTGTTTGTTTGCTCTTTTTTGTTTGTTTGTTTGGCTTCTGTGCATGCTTTTGCACAAGTCTTGTTCAGTGTCTGAAAAGGATAAAAAACGATTAAGCAAGTCCAGCTGGACCAGCACTCCAGTGGTTTTGTTTAAAAAGCAAGACACAATCATCACAGATCTGCTTCTAAAGTGAGTTAGACCAGTTCTTAAGGTAATAGCACTGGGGCTAGGTCAACCTTCCCTGCAAGCTTCTGGAAATTGAGAAGGGGAAATGAGGTGACTCTATTTGTGTTATGGTATCCAGAAAACATTAGTTCAGCTTTAGACACCAGGGGGGAAGAAAACAGGTGCTCTCCCATTTCTGCAAAGGAAACGCTGTTATGACACACTGTTTCCCAGAGAGTTGGTTCAAGTTGGCTCCCTTCTGCTGGTCTTGTAGGGGAGGTTATTTATTGCTACGGTGCTGCTGATGAGAACATTTGTCCATGACAAACTGAGCTGTATTTGAGACCAAGCTGACCCAGGACATCAAACAACCCTCAGAAGGCGTGTGGCAATGCTTCCATTTAAAATTAAACCAGATACCTAAAGGTGAAACTCCTTTTTACAGTGTCACGCTGAACCTTGCTAGTTGTTCGTGTCCCTCTGTCTCCACAGTGACTGGGTCTTGCTTTTTTTGTTACATTACAGGAGAGGAGAAATTATTCTTCCAGAAATGAATAAACCAGTAGCTCATCTAACTTTAATATTTCTTCAAAAATCAAAAACTCATTGCTAACCCAATCTATTCGTCATTTTCCCAGAGCTGGCAAACAAATACTGTCATATATCATTTCTCTCATTTTTATAGAACTTCTTTATTACCTTTATCTACAATAAGATATGTTTTTGATCTTGGACGGTGGACTTTTATATGCAATATTTTCTTTCTTGTCACATAAGAGGTCAAACCTTCAAGTTCCACTCCTTTTCTAAACCATGCTGTCCCTTCATCCCTTGTCCCTCCCATCAGTCACACACCAAGCACCGTCTAATGCCTGCTTGAACGCGTGAGCTGAGCCCAACTGTCTGCTTGGTGTCTGCCAAAGGCGTGCTTGAGGAAGCAGTGTAATGGGAAAACTCTCTGACTTGGGCCTGCCAGCTGAGTGTGGAGAGTAAGGTAGGCTCTCTGTTCTCCAAATTATTAGTGGATGGACTCTGCTGACTCTTGGCTGTGTCACTGTTTGAAAGCAATTTTCCGCTGTGATGCTTGATCCCTCAGAATACCTGTTTCATGGACTCATGCAGGCTTGGGCAATCTTTGGATCCAGTTTCTAAGCTTGTTTTTATTTATTTATTTATATATTTTTTAAAATATAATAATAGAAACTCTAAGAGAAAAAAAAAAAAATTAAAAAAAAGAGGAAAACCAGACCATAATAGGCTTAGGACTTCATAGACCTATGCTGAAGAGTCTTTGACTTGATTCCACAGAGGTAGTGAATTTCTCCATTTGCAAAGATTGTCCTGTAATCTGAGGGAAAGAAAAATTGGATTCCTTAAAAAATAGAGACACTAACTATAAGTCCCTCACTTTAATAGGGAGTATTTGTGTGATTAGTGATCTCAGATGCTTAGTGCAGAGTGTCACTTGGAGAGCCCAGTCTTTTCATCAAGTGACTCACAGAAGTGTAATGGCTCCTGCTACTCAAAGAGCAAAAAGTTGAACAAAGCTCTTAAACCCTACTCACAAAACCAGCTTTACACACTGTATCCAAGAATTTTCATAATTTTACTTACTTCACAGGTGCCTCATTTCTGTACTTGCAGAGTTTCCAGTGTTGAAACACACAAACAGCACCAGTTGCCAGCCACCAGGTGCCTGGTTTGCTTCTTTGTGGAAATGAGGTGTAAAGGACGTCAGCTATGCACCCATGGCATCCCTGAATCTTCGTCTCATTAAGTATGAGTTAGGTATATCAGTAGTGTAATATGATAATTAGCAAAATCATATCGCTTTTTCTAGGTCATTTATTTCCTTTTAAAT